TGTGTGTGTGTGTGTATGGTGCTGCTGGTTGTTTGTTCCATGTAATTTTCTGTACTGAGTTCATTTTGTTTGTGGGTTTTCTTTGCATTTTCAATGATTATATACTCCTGTGTGTTTTGTGTACATAAAAAAAGGGGGGGGGGGGGGGGGAGAGAGAGGAAAGAGGAGAGAAGAGTAGAGAGGAGAGGAGAGAGAGTATATATATATATATATGCTGGAGAGGGATTTTTATACTGGTTAAAGAGGGTGGGGTTGAGAGTAGTGGAGGTAGGTGATAGGTTGACTAGGGATGCCGTGCAGGTAGAGAGAGGAAGTTCCGGTAGGTAGGAAGAGAGGTTCTGGTAAGAAGAGCTAAAGCGTGGCAAGCAGCCATTTTATTATGCACGTGTATGAGGTATTCTATCACATTTTCTTAAATTGTCAAATTTACTATGATAATTCTGGAAAGACAATTGCTAAATCATTGAAGTCAGTACTTTTCCACCTTATTTATATTTTCTAGAAGTTGCATATCAAGGGTCTGTCTGAAAAGTAAAGAACCCTAGTGGCCCATGACTTACATATTATGCAGCTAGCCACAGGTCAGCAGTTTGAGTCCACCAGTGCTCCGGGGGAGAACAATGAGGCTTTCTGCTCCTGTGAAGATTTACAGCCTTGGAAACACTTGTTATGTGCTATGGAGTCGGTTCCGACTCATAGTGACCTGTAAATCTTTATGGGAGCAGAAAGCCTCATCTTTGTCGTGTGGAACAGCTGTAGTTTTGAACTGCTGACCTTGCGGTTCGCAGCTCGATTTGTAACCACAATGCTACCAGAGCTCTGCAGGGTCAATACAAGGCAGAACTGACTCGACAGCATTCAACACCAACAGCAACTGAAAAGTTAGTTAACCTTAATAGCACACACCTTACATTCTCATTATCTTGAGAATCCCAGGTTTAACAACAACAACAAGCTTACTAAATACTTAGTATTTACTATGTTTTATAGATTATATGTTGTCATTGTTGCTAGGTGCCATTGAGTCGGTACCAACTCTTAGCGGTCATCTATGTACAACAGAACGAAACACTGCCTGGTCCTGGGACAACCTCACAATTGTTGCCACGCTTAAGCCCATTGATGCTGCCATTTTTCCAGTCCATCTTACTGGGGGTCTTCCTTTCTTTCTCTAACCCTCCACCGTACCAAACATGATATCCTTTTCCAGTGACTGGTCCCTCCTCACAATATGTCCGAAGTATGAGAGATGAAGTTTGGCCATCTGGACCTCCTAGGAGCACTCTGGCTGCACTTCTTCCAACATGAATCTGTTCTTTTGGCAGCCCATGGAACTTTCAGTATTCTCCAACACCATAACTCAAACGCATCAATTCTTCTATGGTCTTCCTTATACACTGTCCAGCTTTTGCATGCATATGAGGTTATTGAAAATACCATGGCTTGGGGCAGGTGCACCTTAGTCCTCAAGCTGATATCTTTGCTCTTCAACACTTTAAAAAGGTCTTGTGCAGCAGATTTGCCTAATGCACTATGTCGTCTGATTTCTTGACTGCTGCTTCCTTGAGTGTTGATAGTTCATACAAGAAGAATGAAG